GAGCGGCGGAGAGCCGTAGCCGCTGCCCAGGGAGGCGCGCAGCGAGCCGCGCGACGGCGAGATCCCCGTGCCCACCGCGTAGGAGGGAGACTGCGCCCGCGAGGGCACCGAGCTCACGCGGCGCATGGTGCGGCTGGGCGCGATGCTCACCGACGGCTGCTGGAAAACGAAAAGAAAACCTCTGTCAGACCTATCCGGTAGGCCAGACATTTCTCCTCCATAAGCTCTCAGACAGAAAAGTCAACTTAACATGTATACAACTTAACAATATACAAAAGGAGCTAAACAATAAGTTTGCCCTAAATATCATTCATTCTTTAAGTTTTCCTATTCTTCACATTCCAATTCTTCATATTTTTTTTTCTAATCAGAACCTCCTAATAAAGAAATCAGCAATTTAGTATTAAAAGACCCTCCATTTGTCACTCTTATTTGGCTTTGTAGGTTAATGTAGTTATGCTTTCTTTAAAAACAAGCCAGTACACTGGAAATCCAGGAACGGTTCTGCAGAGAGCTCTGGTACAGCTAATAATGCTTTTTGATTACTACCTTAATATCGATCCAACTAATGAAAAAAAGGAAAAAAAAACAAGTGGTAGAAGATACAGGAGCCCAAACATCTCCTTTCATTAAGCACATGTTACATATGGGCTAAAATGCAGGATATTTTATCCAAATCACACAGAAACAATTCGAATGGGATGATGCTACCCTGGCAGTATATTAGCAGCACACTCTGTAGTCCGAAGTCCCCAGAAATTGTACTTATTTTCACTTGCAGTAAATGAATCAGATCATATGAACATTGACATCAGTGAACAAGTCTATTTTGCCAGACATTTATACTTTTTAAGCAGAGAAAATGTTAATTCAAACAATTTAATTTAATAGCATTAATTCCTATGTATAGGAAGTGTAGCTCCAACTACGTATCTATTGTCTTTAAAACTTTGTTACAGAGAGTAGATACAAGAGTACTATTTTGAGCATACCTGAACTAAAGCCTGTCCTTCAGCTCGTGAACTTCTCACCAAGTGGTTGTTGGCAGCTCCAATGAGGGAATGTTGCTGTCTATTTTCTGGATTGCTCAGGTTTTGGCTGTTATGGAAGCTGCTTACTTCCTGGTACCCACTATCAGAATAAGAATTCATTTGTGTTGAACTTCTTGAGTTACCTACAGATCCTGTAGATATGAAGCCAACATAGGAATAAATGCATTACATACCTTTATGAAAACAAAGTTTTATATATGCAGATATTTACTGCATTCATAGTTATATTGCATTGTTAGAGAATCAATATAGAAACATTCTTGTATTTAAAAAGCACACAACAGACCCTCACTTTCATGGAGAGATGTCTGTTCTGGAGAGTAGAGGCTCCCCTGCTCTGGCTCCGTCCGGACGTGATAGGCATTGGTGTGAGCGCTCTCTGACACGCGGGGTTTGTTTGCGCTGCTGGCTGGAGCATCTGGAAGAACAAATCAACTGGGCAAACACAATGTACTCAGGTAAGCTTCCTGCAAATTCAGTAAGAGTTATTTTCTCATACGTGCTCTAACGAAGAGCTTCCAACATGACACGTCTATAAACAGAGACTGCTGGTTGACTTGTACCAGCTACCACACCAACCAAAGGAACCTACTCTGGCCTTAACGGCTCTCAAGAGTCTGCACCTCTCAAGAAGATCTACAATTCTCAGCTTTTAAATGTACTGTCCAAGCTACTGGGATGAAAAACGTAGCTGCTTATATAGAAAATATGAAGATGCTTATGCTCTGAAAAGTAGCTCTACTGGAGTACCCAGAAATAGCTACCATATTTTTAATTGATACTAGTAATGCTACTGGTATTTCAATAGAGCTTCATAATTAAAAGGTCAGGTTGAATTTCATCCATACTTGGTATCATCAACTGAAACAATAATAAATCACGAAATATCAACAAAACGCATTGTGTGGAGGAGCGTGGGCTCTGCGCCAGCGGCCGTGCAGGCTGAGGGGACCCGTGTCGCTCTCGCGGAGCAGGGACGGGCTCAGCGC